AGAGTGAATGTACTGCCGCAAGGGGCACTGCTGCTCGTTCCTGTCCTCTCAGGGACAGATGCCCAAGGATGATGGTGTGTGATTATGCAAGTCAGTCCGCGGGGCAGGTTTGCCCTGTCCTGCGCTGAGCTATGACGGGCCATCCTCTGCCCGAGTCCGCCTGCTCCTGGGCCCCGTGCTTGGACTTCGCATGCAGAGGCCTGGGCCACGGCCTGACCCTGCTTCTCCTTCAGTGCGAGGCCTCGGCAGGCCCTCCCCTCACCCACTTCTGGGGGTCCACGTAGCCCTCACAGCCGGGATTCTATACAGGTCACACCAAGGAAGCACGGCCCCGGCCCCAGAGGTGGAGGGAAGTTCTATGTAGGGACATTCGTTCCAGTGCCTGAGTGTGCCCCAGCCCTGAGACGGATTCCCTGCTGCTGCTGGCACCCTCCACGCTTTGCCTTGCCTTTCACAGAGCCTGCCTCCCTAAACAAGTAGAAAGAGCCTGGAACGTGACCTTGGAGTTTGTCAGAGGGATGTTTAACTGTTGTGCTGCTGCTCACAGCTCTGTGACCTTGGACAAGTCACTTCTGCTCTCTGGGCCTCAGTTTCTCTGTGTAATGTGGGCAGTTCCTATCTCAAAGGTTTTTTGGCAGTTTTTTTTCAAGTGGTCCCTGCACAGTGCCGGGACGTAGTCAGGACCCGTGTTCTCTGGCGTCTTTGCGTGTCACCTCCCTGACAAAGACCAGCAGAAGGTGCACTTACTGTGCATAGTGACCCTGAGGCCCACTTCTTGCTGCTCTCTTCCCTGGATGTCTAGAGAGCAGGCTGTGGCCAAGAAGGCGGGATCCTGGCACCACCACTGGCCGTGATAACCCGGCTCCTGGCCCGTAAAGTGAAGAGCCAGGTAAACACCTGCCAGATGGCAGTGAGGGGCAAGGGGGGCACGGGGGAGGGTGGGACAGGGAACGGCTAAAGCAGAGCCCTGGACAGGGAAGTACTGGTACTCTATCCCTCCTCTGTCTTCCTGTCCTCCCTTCCTCAGGGACTGAACCCAGTCAGGCTGAATGTGGTTATGTTTCAGATTTCTCCTAGACTTAGAATGTTTTTTTTAAATCTAAGAAAACCGGGGCTCCTGGGTGACTCAGTGAGTTAAGCGTCCAACTCTTGATTTTGGCTCAGGTCGTGAGTTCAAGTCCCATATCGGGCTCTGCACTGATAGTGCAGCACCTGCCTGGAATTCTCCATCTCCCTCTCTCTGCCCCTCCTTGTTCACACATGTGCACATGCTCTCTCTCTCAAAAATAAACAAACAAAAAATCTAAGAAATCTCTCTTAACTGAAATGCTTAGACCACGAGCTGTTCCACTTTCTCAACTCCCTAATTGCTGGCTCGCAACAGGGCCTGAAATACAGTAGTCCTCGGTATGAACATTAAAGTGGTAGAAGGACAAGTAGAAAATCTCTTTGCCCCCATAGCCCTCCTTGTGAAGATGGCTCCAAAAGGCAGCGGTCCCCTTCTCCCTTTAGTAAAGAGGGTGTGGAGATTTCCAGAACGTTTCTGGCCTTTGAGGATTTGGAACACCTTGTAGTCCCCACGCAGACTAATCCCAGAGGACATGGGCGCGGCACACACAGGAGATCAGGAGACCTGTCTGCGCCTTGGACACGCTCTGGCAACTGCCTGCTTCGATTTTCCATCACAGTCTTTATTTTTGTTTAGTTGACCTCTGCCCCTGTCTTCTCACGACCAAATGCAGCCCCCTCGTCCTCTTGACTGGTTAGTGGAGGCTCTGATCCAGCTGGATCCGGTGTCCCGGCTGTCAGCCTGCAGCTCAGCTCCAATGGGGCCCTAACAGCTTGTGCAGGGCTGTGAGTAGAAGTTGGGGATACAGTCGGAGTTCAGAAACTTCTGCACTCTGTTGGCTCTGAGGTGCCCTGTTCAGTGCACGTCTGCCCAAGGCATCCTCGTCGTCAGGCAGAGGGTCTGGGCAGGGGGCCGCCTCCCTCTGCCTTTCCCATCAGCACACCCTAGAGATGGGCCCAGAGGGACTATGGGGACTCAGGGTGGTGACTCCTGAGTCTGGGGTGACTTAGGACCTGGCCTCAGACCTGGAGAGGGCGGTACCCTTGTCTCACGGGCCGTTGCACAGGCCCATGCCTCCCTGCTGTCCCTGCGAGGGAGTGTGTTCTGTCTGCGACCTGAGCAGGACCGTTGCCAGTCTGGCTTCAGAGCTCTCTCTACCCGGGCTCCCTTGAGCCTTGGAAGGTGTCCTCTGCGGGGCAAAGGTTTTGTCCCCACGCACAGCCTCTGGGGAGGCTACTGCGCCAGCATTCACCGTAGCTCAGGCACAAAGGTGCGGCCACCAGTTTAGGGTCTGCGTGAACTGGCCCGAGTTACTTCACGTCTTCATCTGTAAAATGGGTGTAAGTAATACCCACCTCAGTAGAATACAAAGTCCAGAAAGAGTCCTAGAAACAGAGAAATTTAGGACACATCAGAGGTCATTTCAGATTGGTAGAGAAAAGACAGTTCATTTAAGCAATGGACAACTTGCTGCCTAGAAAAAAAATGAACTGAATCCTGACTTAAACCTCACATTAAAAAAAAAAAAAATCCTATAAAGATCTAATTGTAAAAATGAAACTAAAATTACAGAAAGACAGTATGCAAGAATTGTTTTTCAAATCTTGAAGAGGGGAGGTCCCTCTCAGTCTGACAGAACTAAGAGAAAGAAGCTGTACAAGGTACAGGTACAGACCAATAGGTTTCTGCACAAACAGAGCCAACGTGAAAATCAAAAGAAAAGTGACAAACTAGAAAAAACAAACGTCTGACTATAGATAAAAGGTTAATTTCCTTACTTTTAATTATTTATTTATTTTTGAGAGAGAGAGAGAGAGAGAGAGACAGCGTGAATCAGGGAGGGACTGAGAGAGAGGGAGAGAGAACCCAAGCAGGCTCCACCTATCAGCACAGAGCCCGACATGGGGCTCGAACCCACAAACTCTGAGATCATGACCTGAGCCCAAGAGGACACTTAACCAACTGAGCCTCTCAGGCACCCCAATTTCCTTACTTTCTAATGTATTTCTACAAATCAAGTACAGAAATGATCAGTACCCACAGAGATAAACACACAAAAGATGTAAAGCGATAATTTCTGGAAAAGGAGCTGCGATGTTCCCCACACGTGTGGCCCCACTGCACACAGACAAGGCCACCAGGCTGAATCCTGGCGCCATGCTTACACACGTGTGACCCCACACGTTGGTCGTGCTCTCTAGGCTCAGCCTCCTGAGCTGTACAGTGAGGGTGACAACAGTCCCTTTTATTAAATGGGTTGCCAAGTATAAAGCCTGTAGAACAGGGAGTGGGGCAGGAATCACTTTGTAAATCCTTGACAGATAAGGGGTACCTCGGGTAGCTCAGTTGGTTGGGCATCAACTTTTGGTCTCAGCTCAAGTCATGATCCCAGGATTATGGGATCAAGCCCCACATCAGGCTTCCGTGCTGAGCAGAAAGCCTGCTTAAGAGCCTCTCTCTCTCTCTTTTTCTCTCCTCGCATGTGTGCGTGAACATGCACTCGCTCTCTCAAATAAAAAATAAATACTTGACAAAACCTGAAAAGATGCTGGAGCTTCCCTGTGAGTGGGATGTTCTTATAGTAAGAAGTGTGCAGTGATAAGCCATTTCTCCACAGCCGTCGCTAACAGTGCCTGTCATTGATGGGAGTGTAAATGTGCGTTAGACTTCCAAACACACCTATCCTCTGACCAAGCAGCCTCTTTTGAGAACTGTCCTGGGGGTGATGCACATATGAGGTGTTCATGCAGTACCATTTGTAAAAGCTAAAATTGGAAATAGTCTTCCTTTGGCAGGGAACTGGTTAAATCATTTATACTCTGTCCCTAACCTGGATGATCATGCAGCTTTAAAAAAAAAAATAAAAAACAAAACAGAGACAGGTCTACATTTCCTGATGCAGAGAGCATCTTCTGTATACAAGCGTACCTCATTTTATTGCGCCCCACTTTGCGCTTTGACGATGCTTCATTTTTTTTACAAATGAAAGGTTTGTGGTGACCCTGCGTCAGTCAAGTCTCTCAGCGCCATTTTTCCAACAGCATTTGCTCACGTGTGTGTGTGTCATATTTTGGCAATTCTTGCAATATTCCACATGCTTTTCTTTGTTATTATTTTATGGTGATCTGTGATCAGTAATTATAACTCCCTGAAAGCTCTGATGATGGTTAACATTTTTTTTTTTTTAAGCAGTTCTTGATAATTAAGGTGTGTATGTTGGGTTTTTTTAGACATGACGCTGTTGTATACTTAATAGACTTTAACATGGTAAACATAGCTTCAATATGTTCGGAGAAACCAAAAAATTCATTTGACTCGCTTTATTGCTGTGGCCTGCAACCAAACGCATAATATCTCCGAGGTGTGCCTGTGTATTAAGTAGTAAGAATAAGGTGTGGACCAAGATGTACAAGAATTCCATTTGTGGGAAAAGGAAACTGGCCTCGGAGGGACATCCAGAAAAGCACTAACGGTTGCCTCTGTGTGTCAGGGGTGGAGGGGCTGTGGCTGAAAGTGGGGCAGAACCCATGAGTTTTCATGGATCCTAATCTGAAAAAACCTACCTGACATCACTACTGTGAGGCATAAAACACCATCATGGAGGTTGGGGGCGGGGAGCAGCCAGATCTTAGCTCTACCACCAGATGTGTGGCCTCGGCAAGTCCCTGACCTCAGCCCTGGCCCGCGTCACTGCCCTGTGCGCATTCGGAGCCCCGGCACTGCCCCCGGCAGGAGTGGACCATCTGGGCAGACGTGTGTGCTGTGCACCTCAGACTCCTGCCGGCACCAGACTCTTGCTGCCTGGCGCGGCCTCCGTGGGGAGCTCGGGGTCTCCGTCCCTCTCTGTGCCCGTGCTGAAGGACAGGCCGCAAGAGGCCGCTGTTGGCCACCAGTTCAGGAGGGCACTCACGTGAACTTCTTCTGCCTGCAGGGGTCTAACGTGATGGAAGAGCAAGACCTGCGGGAGATTGGCATCAGTGACCCCCAGCACCGGCGGAAGCTGCTCCAGGCGGCACGGTCCCTCCCCAAGGTGACCGCCGACAGCTCGGCAGCCTCAGCCCACTCCAAGACAGGGCCCTGTCCATGACACCACCTGGACCCAGAATAGGGAAGGAGCCTGGCTGCAGGCCATGCAGGTCACCACAGGGTGTCTGTCCCTCATCCCGAGAGACCCAGCAGGCAGCACCAAGGCCTGTTTGCTTTCTTGCCAAGTCCTGAACCCCAGAGAGTCAGCAGAGACTAGGGACAGCTGGGGACCCGGTACAGCCCCTGGGGGAGGCTCCAGACCTCTGCCCAGCACAGGAGCTGGTACCCACAGGCTTGGCCTGTCACTGGAGCCTCTTTGGGGTCTTTTCTGACTTGCTGGAGACGAGGCCAGCCTGCGCTGACTCCTGAGGTCAGGCCCTCCCTGGGAGAGGCAGAGGGGTGCTCAGGGCAGCAGGGGACGCAGTTTTTCCCTGGGGAGCCAGGAGCTGGTAGGCCCAACCTCTCCCCCTCACTGTGCTGGTGCTCGGTTCCGTGTACCCAGCGCTTGGGGACACGTGAACAGGTCCCGGCAGTGGGGCCAGAGCCTGCTTCACGGGAACGCACCGTACCATCCCACCAAGTCTGTGACCTTGTCAGTGCTCAGTGGGAGCCCCTCTGCAGACCCTTCCTCCCACAGAACCGTGCCCCCTACGGCCATCTTCCCCAGGCCTGGGGTGCTCTGGTGGCCCCCAGTGGGGGAGCCGAGACCAGAGCAGCGGTACAGAGGGCTGTGTGGAGGGAGGAGATTCTGGTCCCCTGGACTTCGGTGCCGTGAGTGCTGAGGTGTCAGTCCTGCCGCCCCTTCTCGCCCCACAGGTGAAAGCTCTGGGCTATGATGGCAACAGCCCTCCATCAGTGCCCTCCTGGCTGGACTCCCTCGGGCTGCAGGACTACGTCCATTCCTTCCTGTCGAGTGGCTACAGTTCCGTTGACACTGTGAAGAACCTCTGGGAACTGGAGCTGGTCAATGTGAGTGCAGCCCCCCGACGGTGCGGGCCCGGGGCTGGGAGGGGAGCTGTGGGCACAGGCGTGGCCTGACCCCTCCTCGCGCCCCCGCCCAGGTCCTGAAGGTCCACCTGCTCGGCCATCGCAAGCGCATCATCGCCTCCCTCGCGGACAGGCCCTACGAGGAGCCGCCCCAGAAGCCTCCACGGTTTTCCCAGCTGAGAGTGAGTTGGGGAGGGTGGAAGGGGGTAGGTGGGTGTTCTTCGTATCGCTAGGGACTAAAGAGAATTCTTGAGGGATTCTTTGGAGACACCCTGGTCTCTGTAGTCGAGGAGCGAACAATTCGTCCCCTCTCATCGTTGGACCAGTTCTGCCCTCAGGCCCAGAGAGCACAGAGCAGGAGTTGTTTGGGCTGGTTATTTATTGATTACGTGCCTCCCATGTCCATCAGAGGCCTGATGGGGCTTGTCGTAAAGGGTTCCGTTTAAATATAAGGAGAAAGTAAAATGTTAGAGTAGCAAAACAAATAATGAAATGCCAGCAGGTGTTGGCGACAGAGCCAGTGGGACAGGCAGGGGGCAGGAGCCCCCTCACCAGCGATCTGACGTGAACCTGACACAGGGCGTGGAGTCCGCAGCAGAACCTATGCCCTCCCCATGGCTTCTGAAGGAAAATCCTGCACTGAAATGGTCTAGAGAACCTGTGATTTGTTTTTAATAATTTTTTTTAATGTTCATTTATTTATTTTGAAAGAGAGAGAGCACGAGCAGGGGAAGGGCAGAGAGACAGGGAGACACAGAATCCGAAGCTGACTCCAGGCTCCAAGCTGTCAGCACAGAGCCCAACGCGGGGCTCAAATTCCTGAGCAGAGAGATCACAACCTGAGGTGAAGTCAGATGCTTAACTGACTGAGCCACCTGGACACCCCTGATTTTATTTATTTTTAAATGTTTGTTTATTCTGAGAGCACATGTGCGCAGGTGTGGGGGTGGGGGGAGCACAGAGAGAGAATCCCAGACAGGCTCCGCGCTCAGAGCAAAGCCTAACAGCGCAAAGCCTGACAAAGGGCTCGATCCCACATCCCTGGGATCACAAGCTGAAAACAAAAGGCACCCAAGCGTCCTGAGAACCTGTGGTTTTAAGAACCTTGTGGTTGCTTTGTGCTCAAGCCCGGTAATCCCTGACTGCAGGTTAGACCCTGTGGGCCCACGCTGAAGTCTGGGACAGGCTCTGTCCCCAAGCCTGAGCAGGGCCCTCCTAGCCTCAGCCCTGGTGTGGCAGCTTCATGGTGTGGGCGCCACTGTATCCTCCTCTTACCCAGGAGCCCAGCCTGAGGAGCCAACGCACCGCTGATGCTGACGTTCAGTCTTAAAGACTGAGGAGACAGGGCCTCAGGGCGCTGACCGGCTGTGTGTTTTCTCAGGAAGAGCTTTGGATTTGGCCATGGGCCCCAGGGATCTGCAGCCAGTTGTGACCGGTGCTTTCATCTTTGTTGAATGTGATAGTGGCTTCCCAGCCCTGTAACTGGGAAGCCCTTTTCCCATGTGGCTCTAGGCCGGGGCGCCCCCGGTGGCTGCTGGCCCGCTCCACATGGTTGCCGGGACTTCCTGGTCCCAGGAAGAATTTGGTGGCTTTGACTGTACCTGAGCTGGGCCCAGAGGCCAGACTCCCCACAGGTCCCTGCCCCAGCATGCCATCCGTTTGGTGGCTGCTTGGTGTCGGTCCTCAGCTTAACGGCTTTTCTCATGGATACACCTGCCCCTGCGGAGCCCTCAGCAGCCCAGGACTGGCTGGCACCTCCAGCCTAGGGACTGATCTGATGGGTTCCAAGTTTTACCTGGATTTCTCTCCGCTGCAGTGCCAGGACTTGCTCTCCCAGACGTCGTCCCCGCTGAGCCAGAATGACTCCTGCACTGGCCGCTCTGCTGACCTGCTGCTGCCTCCTGGGGACACGGGCAGGAGGCGCCATGACAGTCTACACGACCCTGCGGCACCTTCTCGGGCGGAGCGCTTCAGAGTCCAGGTGGGACAGGAGGGGGACTGTGAACAGGGGTCCCCAGACCCCTCCACTACCCATGTGCCCCAGCAGCAGCAAGAGCAAGACCCTGCCGCCTCCCCCTCAGCCCCACCCCAGCTGTGACCACGGGGCTATTGTCAGCTGTCACTGGGACAGATCCTGCTGTCTCCTCTTTGACTACAGCCCATCCCTTCCAGCCCTTCAGGCTGCCGGCGCTGTTTCTCCACGGCTTAGCCGCTTCTCGGCCCACTCTTGCTTGCCCTGCCTGGACCCTGGAACTGCCTTCTCCCCTCCTCACCTCCGCACCCCGCGCCCCACCTGCCCAGCAGAACTGCAGCCCAGGTCGACTCTTCTTCCTGCTGCCTTTCTGCAGCTGCTGTCAGGCGCAGTTGGGAGACACGTGCGGCTGTGCCAACTACCCTCACAAACCCACCCGCTGCTGCTGGGCCCTGGCCACCCTGAGGCCCTTGCCCTAGGATGGCCCCCTCCTGCACTCCTAGCTTGCCGCCATCGGGGCATCGCGTTCAGGGCTCCCGGATGTATTCAGGCCTCACCTGTCCAGCTTCCTGCCTTGCACACAGATTCCAGGCTTTGTCTCTTGTCCCCCATCTTGGCCTGCTGGACACAGATTGGCAGGTGTCCCTCAGCCCCCTACTAAAGTGAACTTGAGATTCACTACTTTCTTCTCTCTCTCTTTTTTCTAAATGTTTTATTGAGAGAGAGAGAGAGAGAACGAGAATGCAAGCTGGGGAAGGGCATGGAGAGAGGGGGAGAGAGAGAATCCCAAGCAGGCTTCGTGCTGTCACCCAGAGCCCAACATTGGGCTCGATCTCATGAACAGTGAGATCATGTCCTGAGCTGAAATCCAGAGTCGGACACTTAACCAACTGAGCCACCCAGGCGCCCCTGCAGTTTTTCTCTTGCCCAGCACCTGGGGCTTTCCCTCTCCTTTAACAGCACAGCCATGAATTTGACAAGACTGGAAAGGCATGTTGTCCAGAAGTTTTAGTTGCTCCACCTCAGGAGACCTCTGCACAGTGCTGGGAATGGAGGTCATAGATAATTCCTAAAGTTCTTCCCGCCTCCCCTCTTCTTCTATCAGTGCCCTGATTAAGGACCCCATCACCGAGCACCTGGATTTCAGTGGCCTCCTACCCCTCCCCTATCCCAGCTTCCACCTCGGGGGGACACAACAGCAGGCCCCCCCAGCACTGGGTACTTGCCCACCCCAGAATCACATGGGATGATCCCTGACTTGGATGTGAGGCTCCCGGGGACCTGGGCTCCTGCTCCCCATCCTTCATGTATTCTCGTTTTCTCCTCTGGTCTTGGTCATTTCTTGTCTCTACCTCAGAGCCTTCCCGGCTGAGCCTGCTCTCAGGGGGCCTAGATCCCTGCCTCACTGGCGTGGATGGCCTTTACCTCTGCCACCGTGCCTCTTCATGGCTTGTCTGCCCCCTGCCCTCCCCACCTTGTGGCTGGCTGCTTTGCCCTTGGGTAGGCTGGAGCTCACAGAGAGCGCAGGAGTTCCTCTGGAATGGCCAAGCAGACCCATGACCCCGTGTGTTCTACAGGAAGAGCACCGCGAGGCCAAGCTGACCCTTCGGCCCCCCAGCCTGGCCGCCCCCTATGCTCCTGTGCAGAGTTGGCAGCACCAGCCGGAGAAACTCATCTTCGAGTCCTGCGGTTATGAAGCTAATGTGAGTTGCCCCTGCGCTCCCAGCCTGGCCCGCCTCCCTGCCACCCTCCCTTCCTGGCCGGGAACAGGGCTCCAGACACCCCCAGCACCTAGGGAGAAGGAGGCCCTCCCAGCCAGGATGAGGGAAGGGAGTCGGGGGAGGGAACCACTTGGCTGTGGTCCCCAGTTGGTCGGGTCGCCCTGCGTGGTAACACAGGACTTCCTAAGCCCCGTTCCTGCCTGTGCTCCTTCAGTATCTGGGCTCCATGTTGATCAAAGACCTTCGAGGGACAGAGTCCACACAGGACGCCTGTGCCAAGATGCGGGTAGGCCGTCCGTGCGGGGGGTGGGGGCCGACTGGGATAGGGAGGCAGCCACCTGGGCCCTCCCACACTCTGTAAGGGGGGAGGCTGGGGCCTGTGGGATACAAGGGTCTTGACCTTGGGAAGGGGCATTCACAGGATGACAACGTGTTTCCAACAGAAGTCCACCGAGCACATGAAGAAGATCCCCACTATCATCTTGTCCATCACGTACAAAGGTGTCAAGTTCATCGATGCCTCCAACAAGGTGTGCTTTTTCACAAACAACCATTGGCGGGAGGGGACCCCCCCCACCAAGCTGGGCATCTTACCTAGAGTGTCTCCAGCCCTGTTGATTGCCCAGGTGCTTGCCACTCAGCTGCCGCACATCCTGATCCCAGGGCCCGCCCTAGTGACAGGCGCCTCTTGTCGTCCTCAGCACGGGTTCTGTGGGCCTCTTACCCGCTCACGGGCCCTGCGCGGTGTGATCCTCTTCATGAGCAAAGGGCTCCCCGCACACCCCACCCTTGGAACCCCACCCTCCTGATGCCCTCCTCGCCTTGCCCCCGCCCTGGAGAGCTGGTGGAAGGTGTGAACATTTACTCCCTCAGTTACCGCAACCCCTACCCCTAAGTCAGGCAAGGTTATACACCGCCCTGCCCCCACCAACAGAACTGAGGAGAGAAAGAGTGGTGGTATTTGGCTACGCCCTGGGCAGGGACAGAGAAAGGTGATGACATCAAGGGGCTGAAGCCGAGGCATGCCTCAGGGGGCCCGAGAATTCCAGACCCTGCTTTCCCATCCCTCCCCCCCGCAGAACGTCATTGCGGAGCATGAGATCCGGAACATTTCCTGCGCGGCCCAGGACCCAGAGGACCTCTGTACCTTTGCCTACATCACCAAGGACCTGCAGACCAGCCACCACTATTGCCATGTTTTCAGCACGGTGGACGTGGTGGGTGGAGTCCTGCCCCGGGCACGGCCGGAGGGGGCCCGCGGCCAAATGGCCTCAGTGCAGTGCCATCCTGGCGCTCGTGTGGCACCTAGCAAACGTTTAGTACCAAATGAGGCCCCAGCAGCCATCCAGTCCAGTCCCTTTCATACAGTAAGGAGACAAGCAGACAGAACGGGAGGCTCGTCCAAGGTTCTGGTGACAGGGCTTTTCCCACTTCTCAGGTGATTCTTAGGTCAGCCACGGTCTTCTATGTCAACCCACCGCCCTTATTCCCCAACCTCCATCTCAGCAGTCACCCCGAAATGTCCTCTGTCTCCCTCTTGGGGGCAGCAGTGCCCTCCTGACGCGACAGTAGGCTTCCTTCTCCCAGATTCGTGCCCAGGCTAGGCTCTGGTGCCCAGGGACAGTGGCACAGCAGGGACTCCCTCTGCCCTGAAACAAGGCCCCCGGCCCTCTCCTCATCCCATCTTCTGTCCAGATCCCTGCCATCCTTGGGGAGCGCAGCTAGCTCCCAAATCTCTGTGGCTTCTGGAACACAGACGGCCAGGCACTCTCAGCCCCGGGACGTCAGTGCTTACTCTGGGCCCGGCCTCAGACTCCAGGCTCTGCCACTGGCTGGCCGTGCCGTCTTAGAAGTTCCCTCCCCCTGGCTCCTCATCCCAGAGGGGGCTATAACGTGACCAGCGTCATGGGGTTGTCTCGAACACTAAATGAGCTCATCTACCCCATGCTCATAGCTGCTGACACTTTTACATGTAGCTCACATTTTCCGCAGCCCAGTATTTCTGCTCTAACACAACATACATGCTCCTAACGATCAACATGCTACACGGAGTCCCGCAGTAAAACCCGAGGTTTGGGGGAGATCGAACTGGGGACACAACACTCAGAAACTCTTGTCAGTGACACATTAGAAAAGGTAGGAACCTAGGTTAGGAGGCACATAGCTGCCAGTCAGCAGCGCGCTACCTTGAGGAGGCTGCCTTGTGAAGGGGAAGGGAAGCCAGGGAGCCAGCAGGAGAGGCGTCCCGGATGGAGGAGCAGGATGTGGGGAGGGTGCAGGGTGGCGGGCCCCGGGGCCCCCGGAGAAAGCTGAGATACCGGGGGTAGATGGCGCAGCTGGGCCTGACTGGTGGGCCGGCGGGGTGCGGGCTTGGTGCCCGAGTGTTCACGAGATCTGCTTGAGGAGACAAGACGTGTGTCACGCGGAGATCGTTCCCTGATGTCATCAGTCACTTCGGGACGGATTTGCATTTGCAAGCCCAGCGTCCGGAACGGACCGAAGTCTTCCCTGTTCAGGGATCACCCGTGCCTGTGCTCAGGGCTGTGCAGCCGGGGCAGGGGTGAGGTGGCTCTTCAGTCCTGGGTGCTAACGCCGCGCTCTGTCTCCTCCCAGAATCTGACCTACGAGATCATCCTGACGCTGGGGCAGGCGTTCGAAGTGGCCTACCAGCTGGCCCTGCAGGCCCAGAAGTCCAGGCCGATGGGGGCCTCCGCCGCCGAGACCGTGGAAACGAAGTCTTCCAAACCGGTGCCTAAGCCTCGGGTCGGCGTGAGGAAGTCAGCAGTACGTGGGCCCCAGCCGCCAGGACCCAGTCCCCCCTCCCCGGGGTCCCTTGGGGGGAGAGTGGGCTCCAGGAGGGTCTTCTCACTGTGGCCGGCCGGCCCCTCGGGGAGCCGCCATTAGTGCCTCTCACGGGAGGTGGACAGCTGTCCCCCCACCGTGGCCTTCTGCCCCCTCCCTTGCCAGACGCCAGCCGGGCCTGGCCGGTGGCCGGCGTGGGTCGCAGAGAGCGTAGCCCGCAGCGAGGCCCCAGTAACGTCACCCTGTGTCTGTGTCTGCTTTGCTCTGCGCCCCAGGTGCCGCTGCCCCCCGATAGTCGCTGTTGTTACTGTCACACCTGCACCACCCATCGTCCTTCTTACCTACCGCTGCCGTCTGTTAGTCCTGGAGTCAAGGTCTTTACAGCTCCTGCTGTCTGTGTGTCCGTCTGCCCGAAGTGACCGTGAGCTCTCTGAGACACTAGTGGCCTCTCCCTCTCTGCCTGCGTGACATTCTTTCCTGAGCTGCCCCCTGCCCCCACTGTCTCTGCTTTAGCTCTCTGTGTCTCTGTGTGTCCTCTCTCCAGAGGCCTGGGGCGCCCACTGCGGTCTTGCCCAGGGTGCGCTCTCTGGCTCCACCTGAGGGACCTGAGGCTTGGAATGTCCCAGCCCCTCGCCCTCTTCCTACCACCTGGAACAGATCTGGGGCTTCGAGCACAACGCTCAGGTCAGGCAAGGCTCCTTGACCTGAGCAGCTCTGAGAAACCCCTGGGAGAAGGGGCCCCTGGAGAGGCCTGGAGGTGGCCCTCCCATGATGCTCCAGGGAGAGTGCCATGGTTGCCACCCCAGCACCCAGGAGCCTGCTCTTTGCAGAGAACAGGGGCTGCCCCTCACGTCACCAGTGTGGCTCCGGGCAGCCAGGAAGGACGGCCAGGTCCTGCTGCCCCCCGGCCAGGTACAGCGTACCCTCTCTGACCCCTCACCTTTCTTCCTCGGCAGCTGGAACCACCCGACACGGACCCAGACGCCCAGTCGCATGCCAGTGTCTCCTGGGTTGTGGACCCGAAACCAGACTCTAAGCGGAGCCTCAGCACCAAGTATGAGACCACTATCTTCTAACCGCCCGCTCCCTGTCTCCACTAGTCTCACTGTGCCTTGCCCTCCGACCTCTGCTCTTCTCCGCTCTCCTCCCGGCCGCTGACGCCGAGGCCCCGCCCCGGGGGGCCCTGCTCTCCTCCCGGGCGGCAGCTCTGCACACTGCACACTCACAGCTCGTACCCAACTCCACCGGACACTGTGAAGCCCCCCCTGGGGGGGGGGGGGGGGGGGGGGGGGGGGGGGGGGGGGCGCGGTGAGCTGCCTTCGAGGCGGGCACCAGGAGGGCTCGGGGGGCCCCTGTCGCACCCAGGAAGCCTCGGCGGGCATGCGCTGTGTATCCCGAGGGGTGGGCAGTCTTCAAGCAGAGCCCAGACAGCACCCTGTGACCAGGCCGGGCGCCCGGCCGCCCTCCTCGCCGTCTTCCGTGCTGAGCCGCAGCCGGGGGCCACCGCCAAGAGCAAACTGTCCTTTTGCACCTTCCCTGACACAACCGACCACTGTGACCACCCGGTGCCAGAATGCCCTTGCACTCCGCTCCTGGCTGGCCCGCGGCCCTGTCCTTCCTCTGCCGTAAGGTGCTGGCCTCCCTCCGCCAAGGGCCTGAGCTCGGCGACGTGTCTTGACTAGGGTCAGACTGCGTTCCGTGAGGGCCGAGGTCCTCGGGCACATGCCTGACTCTGCAGCACGGAGCTCGGAGCCTGCGAACCCCCGCGGGCCGGCTTCCCTGGGCAGGCCTCGCGGTCCCGACGAGTCTTCCGCTCCAAGGAACGGGATGGCACGTGTGTGGTCGGCCCCTCGTGTCTTCGCCAGTGAGTCACAAGGCCGGCCCCAGAGTCTAGCTCACCAAGAAAGGCCTTTCTATAGGACCCGGCAGGAGGGAGGCCGGGGCCCCATACATGGTGCCCCTTCTCCCCTCACAGAACGGAGCCGCTCGAGGACAGGGACCCGGACCGAGCCACTCCCATTGTCGTCCAGGGGCTGACACTTCTCCACAGTGTGGGGGTCAGAGCTAGTCAGCCGGCACCTGGTCCTTCCCCGTTCAGCCACCCGCAGCGTCTTGTCTCCCCCGAGAGGGGGCGCTGTGTGGCCTGTTGGGCAGCTGGGATCCGGGCGGAGGCCTGGTGGGCTCCCGTGGCCGGAGGCGGGAAGGAGCGGTTCCGGGGCAGGCAGTGCAGATGAGGGTAGTCCACGAGAAGCCCGGGAGCGACAGCGGCCGTTTTAGAGCTGCCGGGGTGGGTCCCTGTGCCTGCCTTCCTGTCCTTGTGCCTTCCCAGCAGACACACTGAGCCCGAGGTGGCTGTGGGCCCCGGGAGCTGGCTCGCTCTGTTGGGGCAGGGGGGAGGCTGCCAGGGACCTTCTGTGCCACCGCCACGTTTCCTTTCAGTTTCCTCCACCTTGTGCAGGCCCCTTTGGTTAACCCTTTCCTCCCCCCGTTGTGTTTGCTTCTGCCAAGCTGAGCCACCGAAGGAGCCAACTGTGCTGCAGAAACACAGACGTGGGGAGCACAGGCTCCCACTGCCGCTGCCGCTGCCACCGCCATGTCACCTGCGCTCTGAGGACCCAGGCCCAGCCTCTGCCTGCAGCAGCTCCTCGGGGCTGCTCGGCCTGGACCTGCCCCCGCCAGGTCTCACAGAGCGAGCTGCACTCCAGGCCTCAAGCAGATGAGACTGGAACTCCCGAGAGTCAAGAAGTGACTTGTCCAGAAGACATTTTTTAATAGAAAAAAATTTTTTCTATAAAATGAATTTTTAAGACTTGGCTCAAACCTCTAGGTTAAACCGCCAAATCTTGAGACAAATGGCCATCAGATCAGAGGACAGGGGACAGGAGATTGGCTACAAGGCCAGTCTGTCCAGGCTTCTGTCCTTGGGCCGGGATCTCGGCATGGTCCAGTAGGGCGAGGAGAAGGCAATGGCCCGCGGGTGAACTGAAAGCAGGCACTAGTGGGCAACACCGAGGAGGTCCGTTAGAGTCTGCTTTTCAAGCCCAGCCAAGTTAGCTGCCGTTCCTGGTGAACCGCCTGACTGCCGGTCCTGTGTAGAGCCAGCGGGGCCTCTGCAGTGAGAACGCAGCCTGGCAGGCACCTGGCAAAAGCCAAGACTTCCGGTCCGTTTCTGGGGTTCCAAATGTGAAGGCCTGGGGGCCAGGCAGAGCTGAGTGAGCAGCCCCTGGTGCCACGAAGTCTGCGCCAGCACCCTGGGCGGCTCCCCGGCCCCTGACCCCGTGGTCAGAGCGCTGTCCCACAAGCTCCCTGGCGCCCTCCGGCCACGGCCGGGGTTGGGTCGAAGAGAAGCAGCAGCTTCGTTTCGGGCATTAATGGGTAGGTCAGCTAAGAGTGCTACCTGCCAGTTTGTGATTTGTCTAATCAGGTCTGTGTGATTAGGACTCACTTCGATTCTCTGAATTATTGGTTCGACTGTTGTATTTCAGCTGCTGGATTCAGCCCCCGCTCTAAGTGTAGAGAAGGCTCTCTTTAGCCTTATTAGGTGACAGTCAATTTGATTCTCCCCCGGCGTGACCTTCAGGGCAGGCCGGGTCGTAGTGCAGCTCTGCCACGGAGGCCCTCCTGCTGGCTCTCTTTGCTCTAACGCAGCATCTCCGGAATCTCTCTCTCTGCTCCTCGGGTGGGGGAGGGAACGGGGGAGGGGGGGGGGTTCAGCCACCTGCCCCGTCCCTTCCAGATCAGGCTCAGAGAGGAGCCTTTCCTCACGCAGGTGGCCAGCACACCTCACGCTCTGCTGGCGGGTTCCAGGCTTTGGTGGCGGTTCTGTGCAGGGAACCTGCTCAGGCCCACTCCCCACCCCTGCGGGCGTCCAGGGGCGGAAAGCTGCCCTCTCTCCCCGCTGCCACCGCAGGCCCCTCCTCTCTTAGGCGGAGGCAGGTGACCCTCCACTTTCTGGTACTAAACAAGGACCTCAACACCTGGACACTTGGCTTCACTTCCTGCTTCTCCGGCAGCAACCCCCGTGCAGTGTCCCGCCCCTGCCGGCCTTGAGCCTCTGACGGAGGGACCCTGGGGGCTGCGCTGGTGCCAGCGGCCTGGCCTCCCCCCAGGCGCCTCCCGTGCGGTAGGCCCCAAAGGAAACCTGTGTAGACACTACGATGAGCTGCTCAAGCTGTCTTTTTGTTTTTAAATCCTATGTAGGTGTTTCCTCCCCTCGAAGCTGCTATATCTTTATTTATTCAGGGTGTTGCCGTTACTGGAGAGCCTTGGCTAGTCCGCTCTGGCGCTGGGTTTCCTTCTGAGCTCGGTTTCTTTCTGAGTAGTCAAGAAGGGTAGGGACTGGATCTTTCCTCCTCTCTTCTCCTCTGGGGCAGGTGCACTGTCCCTTTCTAGGGAAGGGAGAGTAACTTTAAGGACAGGCTTCAAGTGGAAAAGCCCCTGCCTCTGCCCTTCCCTGCGCGTCCCTGCGGTCTCTGGGCTGGGCAGGAGCCCTTCAGGGCAGGACTGGAAACGGGGTCCGTACGGCACCGGCCACAGGTTGTCTGCTTGCCTCTTTTCCACTCGCTGTTCTGAGCAGTAGGACCCCTGACAGGCTCTGCATTCGCGATGCTCCACGTCCCTCTGGGTCTCTAGCCCCGGATTCTAGAGGGCGTTCCCGAGAAGCTTCTGGCTGAGCAGGCAGCATAGTTGCAGTCGTTAAGACATTAGAAAGCTAGTCTGACCTCGGTCTGTTCTTGAAATGCCCAGGCCTGTGGAATGACTGTCAGACGCAGTTCACAAAAGTGTTGTTGCTAAAGGTGTGGCAATGGGACTGAATTGTAATAAAAATGTTATTTAATCCTTGTCTCTGTATTTTGATACTTGAACGAATTCCCCTTTTATTTTACTGTACATATCGTTGTTAATCTGTCTGATTGTGTCCGAATTACGAACATCTTGTGGTACCAAACAAAAGCGATCTGTGCGACACCACAGACTGACCTCACCACGTGAGAGTGTAAATACTCCTGGGCTTCCAGCTTCGGTTTTGTTATTTTCCTAACTGTACAACTTAGAACAGATTGAATTAATAAAGGAGAAACAACATGAAACCAGCCTTACTTTTGGGAGTTTCTGAATTGGGAGGCCGCCTGGCTGTTTCCTGGCAGCAGGGCGGGCTGGGTGCGGGGAGGCGCTCCGTCTAGGCTGCTCTGGCGGAAGCTGCCCGCCCCAGCCGTGTAGTTGGCCCTGTTGAGCTTTGAGGCTCCGGGAGTCACCTTCCCTCCTCAGGGCAGCGCGTCCAAATCCCAGGCGGGGACCGCGTTCCGGTTATCGCCACGGCTCCTGCACCCTTGTCTAGGCCTGTCCTCCCACAGACATTTAGCGAACGTCCGTGTACAAGACTGGGTCGGAGGAGAACCATGGACCAGACGTGTCCCCCTCAAGAATTTAGTCTTAGACACATACAACTGGCTACCGGCCCAGGCCGCACCGGACGGTCCCGTGAGCATCCAAAGGGAGGAGTGCTTCCGGGGCTGGGGGGCGGGGCCGTGGGGACCGGGAAGGCGCCTGGGCTGGTATTTAAAGGGGAGGGTTTGGAAAGGCACGAACCGCACTAATAACCCCTTCACTGACCGCATCTGTGCTCTAGGCCCCCTAGCAGCTTTCCAGGCACCCGCCTCATCGGCCCTCACACCTTTCTGGGTATGGGCTCCATAGAAAAAGCTACCGAGGCTCAGACCAGTTACCTACCTTCGTAGGGCCAGCTGCAGAGGCCCTCGGGAGCATCTCCTCCAGTAGCTTCAGGCATCCTTGGACCCCTGGTCCCACGCCTGCTTGCACCCACGCTGCCTAGCAGAGGGTTTCTGTGAATCATTCCATTTGTCCAAGGGCTTTAAAAGACACAATCACAGGGGCACCTGGGGGGCTCAGTCAGTTGAGCATCCCACTTCGGCTCAGGTCATGATCTCACGGTCTGTGGGCTCGAGCCCCGTGTTGGGCTCTGTGCTGACAGCTCAGAGCCTGAGCCTGCTTTCGATTCTGTGTCTCCCTCTCTCTCTGCCCCTCCCCCTCTCGTGCTCACACTCGCTTGCTCTCCCTCTCTCTCAAAAACAGACACTGATTTAGTTGAATACGCAATTGTATTTATGAAGCAAACAAGGCCTAGAACAGGGAAATGCTTTTCCCAGCTAGCCAGCTAACAGAGGAGGGACCAAATCCCAGCTCCTTACTTCCAATTAGAGCTTTTTAGGCCAGATCACATTGACGTCGGGAAACAGACTGAGGGCGAGTCAGGGAGAGCCTCACTTACCAGACTAGGGGGTTCATCCTCACACCCCTGTGCTCGCTCTCTGGCTCTGGCACTCTTTCCTAGGCAGAAGAAACCTTAACAGCCAGGAGAGAGAGGTCATAATTAGTGTCCCTGCTGCACTGGAACAGAGTGCCGGGACACCGTGCCGCTGCCCTCACCCATTTCAGCCTCACTCAGAAGCCTTACACATGGGACTCAGGCCGTGTGACCCCAGCGCTGCAGTGCTGATCACACCTTGGTAGCCCGATGGGCGGGGAGACGCTCCTGTCAGGCACCTGAGCCTGCCATTCTGAGCCACGGGCAGGGCAGGGCAGGGCAGGGCAGGGGCCAGCCAGACGGGAGGGAGAGACAGGGAGGAAGCGCCAGCTGGGGCAGCTCCACAAAAGGAAGGATGGAGCACAGCCTCCGTGAGTGCACCTGCCTGCCCACCCTGCCTTGCCCTCCCCTCCTCTCTGCTGAGCCAGGTGGAGCCTCACAAGCCTCTAGTGCACCTCCCTCTCCCTCAGCGTCCTCACCAGCCCCCCCAACACACACACACACACACACACACACACACACACACACACACACACATTCTCTGCGTCCAGGAACCCAGGCAGCTGGCACTCCTGGGGCCCAGGCGGCTCACCCTTCAGGCAGCAGGCCGGCGCCTGGGGAGGCAGAGCCTGGCAAGCTGGAGCCCTTTCCAGAGCAGCTCAGGAGGCCCTCTCCACCCGGGTGCCACCTGGCTCCCAGCATATGGGGACAAGCACGCCTGTCCGCCGTCCTACAACTCAACCCGTGTGGCTCACACAGCACTACTTGTCACCAGCTGACACCACACAGCACGGTTTGAAGTTGCTGTCGCCTCTACAACTCTGTGACTGCTTCCTTCAGGACTCTGCTGTCAGGACCACAATTTTAAGCAAGGTTTTATCAAATAAGAGTTTCCCTAACGCCACAAAATATTCATTACCCAGGAATGAGCCAGGGGCAACTGGGTAACCCCGGGGGTGGCAGGGACCCCACAGGTGAACCGCGATTCCTACTCACACCAAAATTCCAAATGGCTCACATACTTAAATGTAGAAAAAATAAGTTCCAACAAAACTAGAAGAAAATAGGGAGACTTTTTTTTCCATAATCTTGGTATGAGAGAGCTCTTCCCAAGCATGCTACAAAACTGAATCCATTTTTTAAAAGATGAATATACTCAACTACAGAAAAATCACATATTCCTGGCAAAGCCAAATGCACCATTAAGAGCAACTGAAAATAATGTTTGTATCACACATAACAAAGGACAAAACTTGACAGAAGCTACCAAAGCACACTGGCACTTCTACTTCCGGGAGATCAAGAAGACCTACTTTTCCCTATTCTTCTTGCCAAGGACAAATAAAACCCTGGCAGAATCAGCCACGGCACAGGCAAAGCCCAAACCGAGGTCTGCTCCCAGTAGCCAAAGGACCAGAACAGAGGCAGCCCGGCAAGACAGAAAACTGTCAAGACGCTGCTTTGCTCCATCCTGACACTGCAGGGAAACGGCTCCGGCCGGCAAAGGCCAAGGGGACTTAGACTTCCACCCGCACCAGGCGGACAAGGCGCCCCCACTCCCTCTTGGACGGTATCGGAAGACGCCTAGTGGGAACTCACCAATGTCCGGCAGTAATGGGGCTGCTCCTGAAAAACAAAATAACCAGAATCAAAATCTCAATGGACTCAACAGCAGGATGGATGGGAAAGAGAATCCACCTACGGAAAGACAGAACAATATAGAACACCCAACCTGGACAGAAAGAGAAAACAGACTGGAAGGAAAATGAATAGTGAGCCCGGGGCCTAGAAACTCTAACAAGATCAAACATTTGTGTCAACAGTCTCAGAAGGAGAGAGAATGGGGTGGGAAAGTACTGGAGGAAATAATGACTGAAAACTTCCCAAATTTGGCAAGAGACATAAACTCACAGATTTAAGAAGCTGAGCACACCCCACACAAGAGAAACCAAGAGAAATCCATCACACATCATATCCAAGGTACATTAAAATTAAATTTCTGAAAATGAAAGAAAAATTTTCTGACAGCAGCAAGAGACAAACCTCGCCCACAGGGGACACATAATGTGAACGATGGTGGATTTCTCAGCAGAGCGGTGGAGACCAGGAGGAGGTAACATATTTTTCAGGTGCTGTAAGAAAAGAAAAGCCTGGTCCCATAGCCTGCAAAAATCAAGACATCCTCAGATGCAGAAAAAGAAGGGACTCAGCTGCAGACTGAGCCTAAAAGAATGATAAAAAGGTTGTCTCAATGGAGAGGAGATGGTATAGGAAGGAGCCTTGGAACACCAGAAAGAATGAACAAACATTAAACAAAAGTAAGGGGAAACCCCACAGACCTTCCATCCCCTCCAGCTTTCTAATGTGTTTGACAGTTGAGGCAAAAATCGTAACACAGTCTAATGTGTTTCTAAATTTATGTAAAGGAAATATTTAAAACAATTACCTTTTTTAAGGGGGGAGGAGCAGAAGGAGAGAGAGAGAGAGACAGAGAGAGGAAAAGAGAGAATCTTAAGCAGGCTCCATGCCCAGTGAAGAGCCTGATGCTGGCCTCAGTCCCACGACCCTGAGATCATGACAAGCCGAAATCAAGTTGGATGCTCAGGCATCCCAAAACAATTATCATTTAAACGGGGAGGGTAAAAAGATAAAAATGGAGGTAAGGTTTCTATTCCTTGTTCGAATTGGTAGATGACATCACCAGTAGCCTGGCAAGCTAGGCATATATGTAATTCCTAGGAAGACACTAAAAAAGTTATGCTAAGAGATAACTCAAAAACACTATGGATAAAATAAAAATGGAGTGTAACATCTTTTTTCAAGTAACTCAAAGGGAGGCAAAAACAGAATAACTAGAAAACAAAAGATGGCACACTTAAGCACTAACATATCATAATTACCCCAAGTTAAATCATCTGAAAAACACCAATTAAAAGAAATTGGCAGAATAGATTAAAAACATGAACTATATGCTGTCAAGGAACATACCTCAAATAATAATATAAATGGGCTGAGAGCAAAAGGATAGGAAAAGATATATAATGTAAACATCAATCAAAGGAAAGCAGGAGTGGCTATATTAGCATCTCATAAAGTGGATTCAGAGCAAAGAAAATTACAAGAGGGAGCATTATATAATAATAAAGGGTCAGAGCACCAAGAAGGCACATCAGTCAATGTGTATGTGCCAAACAACAGAACTACAAAATATGTGCAGCAAAAACTGACCAAATTGAAAAGGGAGAGAGACAAATCCACAAACGCTATGGAATGAACTGTGTCCCTCCCAAATTTCTATGTTGAAACCCTAACCCACAATGTGACTGTGTTTGGAGATAGGGCTTTTAGGAGGTGATTAAAGTTAAATGAGCTTATAAGGCTGAGGTCCTAAAGTAACTGGATTGCCAGCCTTACAAACAGAGGGAGGGAAAGAAGAGATCTCTCCAGACATAGGTGCAGAGGAAAGGCCATGTGAGGTATACATAGCGAGAAGGTGGCCATCTATAAGCCAAGAAGAGAGTCCTCCCCAGGACCTGACCCTGTTGGTCCTTGATCTGGGATTTTCAGCCTCCAAATGTGTGAGAAATGAATTTCTTTTGTTTAAACCACCCTACCTGCGGTATTTGGTATGGCAGCCTGAGAAGACTAATACAATAAATATAGCTGGAGACTTCAACTCAGTTGGAGACTATAACTGATAGAATGAATAGAGAGATAATCATTAAGGATCTATTAGAACTCAACACCACCATCAACCAACAGGATCTC